TATCATTTCAAAAGTTCAGAATAAGCTCGATGAGTAGAAAGTGGAACCTGCTCCTAAAGAAACACAAATGATGTGGCCAACTGGAGTGGCTGCCAAAGGACATACAGAGGGGATGGCAATAATGGAACACAGAGAAAATGCTGACTTTTCATAGCTGAAAGGTTTGACTAGGCAAGGATGATGTCAGGCTGTGCCATAATAATATTAATAGGCAATGATAAAATTGGCTGCTATGCACCATTGCGAAAGAGGAATATTTGTCTTTCAACATAAATATGGGAAAAAAAACAACCTAGAAATAAATTTACTAACAATAATATTCAGACCTCACCAATTCTTCAATTAATTCAGCAATATAAAATTGAATCTGGTCATAGAATCTAGTTGTTACAAATTTCTATATTTTATCATTAGGCTGGGGAGGGGATGATAATAAAAAAAAAAATCAATTTGCAGTTGGATTTTCTAGTTATAAGCATTTCTGGCGTAAGTAGTGATGCACCACATTCATAAAACAGTGTGGATTCTGATAAGTTTAAAATAGAACCTTCTGGTTGGTACGTACTCAGTGACATTGAAGTTTGGGTTGGTAGTCAGCAGGGTTTGGTTCGTTCATCAGCATGGTTCGAGTTCAGTGTGTTGGGTTCCCATTCTAACAGTACGGTGAAAAATGAGGTAAGATGTTGAGGGTAAACTGAAGTCAATAACTTTGTCAAGAAAGATGTGACCATTAATTACTTCATTAATTTAAATATAATTAACCAAAGAATTATGTCTACTCATATCTAAATTACTATCAAATTCATCACACGAGTTCATTTCTTTACAATTTGCTATTGACTAGAGTAAAAAAAAACTCAAAATTTGAAGAAAATCTGACTTCAATCAAGCTATTTGCATTAAAAAATTTGACCCACCCATTTATGTGTGATTTAAACCTTCTAAAAATGTTTGGTCAGTGAAGGGGAAATATTTCATTCTTTATTTATGCATTCACAACAGATAAAAATGTTGAAAAAGTTATAATTACTTTTTGTTCTTCAACTTTTAAATTTTTTTTGTAGTTTAAAATACAACAACTTTTTTCAAAGTTTTTTTGATTCCACAGGTTGGCATGTATGTATATATGATGTATGTATGTAAGTTAAAAATAGTTTATAGTCCACTTCTATAAATGTACATAGCCTGGTGCTGGCAACAGCTATTAGCCTCAGAAGAGAAGATTTAGATAGGTAAATAAAAATAGTTTTAACATCTAATCCAATAAAATAAAACATATCCTTTTAGATAAAGTATGTCCTTCACAATTTATAATAACATTTTCTCCGTGCCTTACATATTAAAATGATGCGAGTCATTAAGCTACTTCCACTAAAATAACATTAAAAATACAAATATAAGAAAATTGGAATAATGTTGTAGAAACAAATTCCTATAAAATGAATGTTTCTGTTGAATGAAGCAACTCTGTTTAAATCAACCAAACAACAATCACCAAAATAGACTTGACTGATTCTTTGGTGTAGCATAACTCAACCATTGAAGAAACTAAAATATACATGTTGACATGGGAACATTAGTAATACATAAGATGTGGATGAATGTAGGCATGATCTACAAAACGGGTAAAGCTTGGAGTGTTTGGAATGGGAAAGAAGTTCGGACATAAGCCATAGTGCTTGTAAAAGCAGTGAAGAAAAAGGTCATTTTTAAAAAGTTTTTAGGAGTTTTTAAATAAAAAAACATGACAAGTTGGGTGATTTTAGTGTTTCAAATCACTATTTATAACAATATGAGGTGCCTACTCAGCACATAGTGAGGCATTAATCAGACTTAGGTCAGACAGCCAAATCTGTTTGGCATGAATGATTCTTGAAACTTTTATTATTTTGCAGGCTAAGTAGGCCAGCATTGATTGTATTGGGTTCTTTCTAGAGGTAGAGACACCTACAATACACTCTGAATGACATTGGCTGACTTGTAGAGACTGCCAATTATAAGAATCCTTGTTACATCGGCAGCATCTTTATACACAGGTGATATCGACTAAAAATAGTTGAAACATCAAATATTTGACATCCTCAAAGTCCACAACATGAATCATCCCATCAGCAGGCCTCAAACCCTGCCCCCGGATTACCATCAGTAACTCCGCGTGAAAACGCTCCATTAGAAGTGGACACAAGAAGAAGATTAAGTTTTAAAATAGAATTAAATGTTAGTGGATGGGGAAAATCGCAAAGCTCATTTCTATTAGAAAACACAAGACATTTATCTGACAACTGTAATAGAAATAAGAAAATATAACAATAATGTGTACCGTATTGTATTAATGTGACATGATGTGAGAACTATTTCTAAAAAGGGTTGAGGTGGGGGGAAAAATACATCAATCATTGTAGCATGGGTAACAAAACTACAAAATTGCTAATTTCAATAAATTAAAGAAATTTTACAATACTTAAAAAAAAAAAGCAAGGACTAATTAATGGCATAACATTGGTAAAAAAAATTCCCTTTATAGTACAATAAATGTTTAAAAAAAACTATTTCAATAAATGCATAACAGCAAATATTAACTATTTTAAACTCAATTTACCCAATAAGTAAATAACATTTTGATTTTCAGTTTAACTAGCCTCAATTATATTTAGTTTAGTTCTTGCATAGATTTATAAATAAGTCACTTTAAGTAAACAATGGAAATACTAGGGGGGAGTGCATGAAGGAAAATGCTTGGTTCCATGAAGAAACTTACACACAAAAAAAACCCAATAGGTCTGTATTGATCAAATGGGATCTACATTCCCTTTCAAAATCTATTCATATTGTAGGCATCGCAAAACATAATCATATAAGGATTGTACAATTTTTGAAAGTGTTAGGTATGAAAAGAGTATGAATTCTTTGCTCCAGGTAACTGCAGATTCCCAAATCTTCCCATTTTACAGTGTCTAAAAGATTTTCAGACAGCAATTCAAATAAAACAAATATTAATTAGTTGCTCAATTGTGATAGTTATTTCAAAATCCAAGCAACAATTTTTATAAAGCATTTAAATTCAAGCAGTTAAAGTGCTCTCATTGAAACAACTTGCAGCTGAAAATATTAGAATAGTTACTTAAAAGCAAAATGCATACCTGGCAAATGAAATGCTTGAAATTTGTTAATTATTTGTGTAATCTGTTTTCAGGGGACCTGGTAAAATTCAAGCCTTTATCAAAATATTAGTTAAAATAAAACACTGAGTAAACTTAATCTCTGTCTGTGTGTAAAAAATATTTTTATATTGTTAAATGAAATACTTTAGTTCAATTAAACAACAAACATTCAAAAACTTGTCAGAAAATCTGGCTAGGTCATAATCTTATAATAATGTAAAAAAAAATGTATTCAATAAATAAACTGATGGCCTGTCAGCTCTTAATTACTAAGCAGGAGCAAAGTATAATTTCATTAGCATGAAATATTAAAAATGCATACGTTTTATAACATCTGTGTAATATTTCTGTATTGACAACTAATACACGAAACAGCTGCTTCCAAGACCCTAGAAGATAACATGATCAAACAAGCATTAGGTGTTTGATTATTTGCAATGGATTTTGAACAGACGAAAAGGAAAAGCCCAATACTGAGTGAGGTATTTATCAGAACAACAATTTAGCAAATAATATTTCATAATTTGACTCCCAGCTGACACAAATGGCAGAAAGAAAACTGACGTCACATTTATTTAAAATGAAAATTTGAGGGCAACATTTTGATTGAATTATATAGCTACATTAGATTGTGGTAAATCGTCAAAGAAAAACTACTATACCAGCCCTTACATAAATCAGTGCCTAGTACACTGAGCTTACACTGTAATGATGGTGCTCCAGTCTATAACTGTAAATTTTATATAGCTACATTAGATTGTGGTAAATCGTCAAAGAAAAACTACTATACCAGCCCTTACATAAATCAGTGCCTAGTACACTGAGCTTACACTGTAATGATGGTGCTCCAGTCTATAACTGTAAATTTTGAATAAACTACACATATAAATCCACATGTTGGTATATGGCTTGTTATACAATTATTTAAGCTAGGTCATAATAGATTTTTTTTAGCAATAGAATTTAAATATATCTAAATCAAATATCTCAATTAAGAAACTTTTAATTAAAATGAAATGATAAATTCTATATCATAACATTTACTATTAATGGTATCACAGTTTTGAAGATAAAAAAGCATTACAACACTGTTTTAAAGTAACCAAAATATAAAATAAAAATTCTATAGATTTACTTGTCTCTAATAGAGGCCAAAAGACATTGTATTTTTATTCTGCTAAAAATGAAACAATAAATATCACCTCTTTATATTCTCTTTGATGTCTTTCATTGGTAGTCCTGAAAATAAATTTTATAAGACAGGTTGCCAGATGAGAACAACATTGTATGATTAGAAAATTAATTCATAACTTTTTACTAGGCAATTTAGACCTGACTTGAATGGAAATTTTAGATTCTGTTTTAAAATTTCTGTAGTCCTACCAATTGCAGAAACTTGTGGCTCTGATTTCAGCATGTCATTTCAGGAATGCCTTCAACCTAAAATGCCAGATTCAATACTTTTAAAAATTATTTTACGGACATTCTTTTCTTTTTGTGTGTATCAAGACAGGAGGCATTTAATCCCTCAACAAATTGTTTTCTTCCAGCTTAGGTGGTTGGGGATTTTTTAAACATTTTTTCTTACCTCCATCCCAAGCAACTCTGACAAGTCCATTTAATATAGATTGTAATATTTTTTAAAATAAACTTATGCACAATACCAGCACCTCGTTAAATTATTCTGAAATAAATTGTGATTTATATACTTACATAACAAGGGGCATCATCATGAGGTTTACTTGTATTTGGCGAGAAAGTTAAGATGGAAGTCCTTGAATTTGGCCAAAACTGCCTTCAATTCTTCAACCTGTCAAGGCAAGTGTAAGCTAAAATGGCCGACTAATAATTAATGGTAAAATTAATGGGAGGGGTATGAAATAAAATACATTTACATTTAAAAAAAAAATTATTATTTAAAAATTGTCAATCAAGGAAAGTGATTGATGACACATAATTTCAACTTCATTTTAAAACACTCTGCCTATTATTTACATCAATAAATAAATTATTAAAACATGCCTAATAAATCCTAAGTTTGATCCACCAGAAAAAGAAAATTTCATAACAAAATTAGGATCCGTGGTAGACTTAAAAAAGGAAGACATAAGACTCAGCAGAAACATTGCTGCGAACTCACTTTGTAATCAGATATATCAGCACCACTTAAGCAAAAAGATTTAAATGTTAGTCAGTTTTATTTGCCACCTGTTGATTTTAAATTTAAATTATTCACTTTTTAGATTCAATTTAGGTCATCTATGTTTTTTTTACTTGGGCTCTGAATAAAAATTGAACAACATTTTATAGACATTTTGGATTCCATTTGTGTCAAAATGGTTCTTTATAAGATATGATTTTTTGTCTGATTTGTGTAAAAAAACAATTATTAGAGTTTAAAATGAAGATCACATTTAAGACTTACAGAGATCTTATCAAATAAGAGGAGCTATTGTATTTTAATTGCTTTTTTAAAAATATCGAGATGGAGGTCAGTAGTAGATAATTACACCTGTTCCTGTGTCTTGTTATAGGTCATGTAAAAAATTAACTAAAAATGAGGAAACATTTACCGGTGGCAAAATTGTAGTTCTAAAGTGATAGGTTCCCTCCTCTTCCCTGAAGCCACTTCCAGGTACAGTGCATATTCCAGTCTTTTCAAGGAGGGCAAAGCAGTAGAAGGCATCTGGACTTTGGCCAGCAGCTTTGGCGGCTTGGATGGCTTTCTCAGGTAAATAGATACGAGGGAAGGCATACATAGAACCCATGACCTGGAAAATAAATATGTATGAAATAGTTTTAATACTCAATGATATTAAGTGAATTTGTAAAATATGCACAATGGGACTGAATTTTCCCTTCATTGCTGAAATGTGCTAATGAGCTATTTGTAACAGATTGACTAGTACCCCACAGTTAGGACACTGCAGATTACAGAGGCCCAGAAATAAGACTCTTGCTTTGCTAAAATTAATTAATAGTTCATTTAACTAGCCTTAAATTGTACCATCATTTGGTTAAATTGAAGAGCATGTGTTTGAATTAGATTTATATCTGTCATTTCATGAAAACTCAAATTATTTTTAATACTTTTCCATGCCTCAATAAGTCAATACATCTATTTTTAAATTGGTAGAATAGCAAAATTTTTAGAATTATTTCTTAGCATTGGTATACCTCATTGCAAGTAATCCCCTCAATGGAATTAAAAAACTTTGTGATGAGTTCAGAATTCTCCTTTAACTTGGCTAGGACAAAGTTTTTCTCCTCATAGAAAAGCTCATAAGATGGGTCACCTAAAAATGTTTATTTAAAAACAAATATTCTTAATCTCATGCAAAAATCATAATGGCTAAATCAACAGGGGATAAAGCAGCTATACAATATTTAGGGATGTCAGAGAATGGCAATTACAAAAAAGAAGAACATCTTTAACTTCGCAAAAGTTAAATAAACTCAGATAATTTCTAGATTAACTTCACAAACATGATATATTTATGAAATTTAAAACCTTGTATATGAAGTCTATTACTACATCGCAAATCTTGTTTACAGAAGACACATACCACAAACAATGGTTCTTAGTGTTTTCCACTAACCAAATTTAGGAGGGCTTACAACGCAATCCACTACTACCTGCCCTGATACTGGGGGGCACAGTTTGGCAGATATACTTTTGTAATACTCTGCCCTAACTTCTGGCAAAAGATTTATTACCTGAAAATAAAATGTTTATTTTTAATGCATATATTTAAATCCCTCCCCCCTCTAACGTGTTACTTTACCAAGTTAAGCAACACATGCGTCAACACATACATCAGTTAGACATGAATAAACTAAACACAGATGATATTTGTGTCAAAGATATAATTATTATTATTTAGGCATTTTTTTATAGCGCTTACCTTACAGCTCTAAGCACTTTACAATAATTAAAAATATGTAAACTATTTAAACTGCTAAAGCAAATAAAAATGAAAAACCAGAGACACTAGAATAGTAACTACTATGTGAAAAATGACTAGAAAAACAGTAGCTAAAACATTAAAATTGCTATCAAAACAAGTACACTTGGCAAGTTTTGGCATATACTTAAATACAGGATCAACCCGACACAGTAAATAATTGTAATGAATATAATAGCTTGAGAAACCCTTTAAAATAATCCGATGGAAAGAGATAATTCATGGAATTATCGAATAAATTAACCAAATTTTAGTTTTCCCCTCTCTCTATATGAATAAGAGAAGAAATGTAAAATTACTTAGTAAAAAACTAAAATGGATTACAGAAAAGTGCATTACCTCTGCATAGCCTCCTCTGTAACCACATTCTCCCATGTACCCCTTGGATGCAGACATGAAAGAGGCCAGTTCCATCTTATTGTATGGTGATCCAAGCTCCATCAGGACTTGCTTAAAGGAATAAAACTTGGCTCCTGCAGCATACACATTATGTTGGAAAACCTCATCAGCTAGCAGGAACAGCTTCTCTTTCTTGGCAAACTTAATTATCTTCTGAATATTCTCTTTGGTGAGGACAGCACCTGTAGGGTTACCAGGGTTGATGATGACGATGGCTCTGGGCTTGCAAACTGGCCTGGCTGCAGCAATAGCCCGCTCCAACTCACTCACGTCTAGAGACCAACTGGCCTTCTCATTGAGGTAGTAAGGAATAGGGTGAGCACCAAACTCAGAAATAGCTGCAGAATAAAGTGGGTACTGGGGAATGGGAATCATGAACCCAGCTTTGTTGACACCATCTTTGGCTGTGAGCAGCAGGGTCATCACAGACTTGATTGCATCGCTGGCACCGGTGCTCAAAACAATATCATTGAAATCAGAGGGATGGCCATCCCTTTCTTCGATAAAGGCCGCAACATCTTTTCTAATGACATTAAGCCCGCAGCTATCAGAGTAGGATCCTAGGCTGTGACCTTTACAGCCATCAAGCAACCTCTTTGCCTTTTCCTTAGTATCAGCGGGAAAATCATTGCTCTTCAACAATTCAGGGTAGGTGCATAGGGCAAGAACTTGGCGAATAAATGTAATAGGTTTTTGTCCTGTTGCATGACAATCACCTATATTGGCTTTGACCACCTTGGGAAAAGGCTTTTTCTCTCCGGCTAACAATTCGTCTTCAATCTGTGTAGCTCTAATGACTATTGGACCTCTCACAGCATATTGGAGTTCAATGACATTAGGATTGAGAGTGTCTAAGGTAAGGACATTTTCAACTGCAGAACCCATGGTGTGCTCTTGCTAAAGATTGATGAAAAATATACAAGTGGTTACCATTTTGAATGGAAAAATTAAAGTTTTTTTCCAATTAGGTTACATTTTTACCTTAGGAACAAGTTAAACAGGTAATTTAAAACTTAATATATTATTGTTTTAGCAGTTTGGGATGAAGACTCAAACAAGAAACATATAAGGCTAAACATATACTAAGCTGTCTATAATCATCTACGTCATCTGCATGAAGGCTCTGAGCTGGAACGTTCTTGTTTCATTGTCCTGTTTCTTAATTCGCTGACAAAAGGCTTCCTGTCGATGCGTTTATTGTTTTGTTGCATTCCCTTTTTCAGGTTTTCCAATACTTTGTTTTACTCATTTCCTTTTTCTTAATTCAAGCTTCCACATTCCTTTTTCAACTATATCCACCTATAATCAAGAGGTAATAACTTCATTCAATTTGTCATTACTTCTCCACATTAAAGTTTTGAAAGGCAATGGTTATCTAGCTAGAAAAATAGATGTACCTAATTTGCATTTACCATAATTCATCAAAGGCTGAAAGATTTCAGTCATACTTGAATTTTTTAAGTTGAAATTGAGGTTTTAGTTTTTCCATTTTGGCTAAAACATTCAGCAGTAAACTTAATAATATTCTTCTTTGCTGTTCTCACTCCCAATGGAGCATAGGCCATCCACAATACTTTTCTATCTGTCCCTGCCCTAGGCTATTTTTGCTAGTTCAGCCCAGCTTTTCTTCATTCTCTTCCCCTGTCTCTACTCTCCTCTTCCATGTGGCTATTGGTCTTGCTCTTTTCCTGGTACCTTGAGGGTTCCAGTTCAGGGCCTGTCTTGTGAGCTTAGTGTTTGGTTTCCTTAATGTGTGCCCTATCCATCTCCATTTTCTCATTTTTATGTCCTTTTTCACTGGAACAATTGATGTTCTCTACCAAAGGACAGTGTTACAAATTTTGTCAAATCATCTTATTTTGAGGATCATTCGCAAGCAACCTGCAGTTTTTTAATGTTTGTTTATGTTGTTCTCCAAGGTTCACAGCCATACAGAAGAAGTGTCTTGACAATTGAGTTGAATATTTTTAACTTTGTTTTTGTCAGCATTTCACTTGAGCTCCAGGTGTTTCGCAGGGCACTGAATGCTCCTCTGGCCTTTTGGACCCTAGACTTTATGTCCTCATCTGTGCCACCATTTTTATTTATGATGCTTCCCTGGTATGTAAAAGTCTCCTCAAGAGACGCTCCTCTCAGGTTAATCCCAATGACACCATCATCCACTGCATTATTCTTAAGGTCTTGGTGTTCCCTTTATTTATGCTAAGTCTAACTTGCTGCGATACAGAGTCGAGTTTTGTTGTTTTCTCCTGCATTTGTTTATTTCTATGTGATAAAAGTGCAATGTCATCTGCACAATCCAAATCCTCCAACTGTCTGAAAGGTGTCCACTAGATTCCATTATTCCCATCCTGTGTTGTTGCTCTCATGATCCAGTCAATGGATAACAGAAAGAGGAATAATGAGAGCTGGCATCCCTGTCGAACTCCAGATTCTATCATAAATGGGTTTGTGAGCTCACCTTCATGTATAACCCTACAACTCATAACCTTGTATGTGTTCTTAATTAAGTTAGTTAGCTTTTGGGGAATAATATAATGTCTTAGTAGTTTCCAGAGTGTATCTCTGTCTTAGCTATCAATTGCTTTTTGAAAGTCGACAACATGTAGGTACAATGAAGCATTCCACTCCAAGCACTGTTCTATGATTATGCGCAGGGTTGCAATTTGGTCAGTACATGATCTGTTTTCTCTAAAACCAGCAATCATCTCTTAGTTTGGAGTCTTCATTACTTAATATTATTAACTGACATTAAAAGAAACCTACCTTTTAGAAATTAGGCCTACATAGCTACATATTATTTATTTAATTTACACTTTAGACTTTATAATGCACTTATTACCAAATAAGTACTGCGTATAACGCAAGAAAATAAGGGTAAAAAATGCTACTTAAAATTGTACACAAGATAAACAAATTTTTTTTTCATAACTGACTAATTCATATTAATGCCTAGGCAACCAAATCTTTTAGGCCCTCATGCATTCAGCGACCTAGTGCGCATCAAATTTGAGGATAACACCAGTAATGTAAGTAGCTACTCTTCGACAGGATATTAGCATAGTTGCAACTGTATGACCACAGTTTATTTGAATATTATAATAATTTAAAGAATTTTGACATTTTTATAATAAATAAATATTAAATTTGATAATAAGTATTGTATTATTATGGAACAAGATTAACACATCATATTATATGTGGACTTGGCATTTTAAGGGTTTTTTAAAACAAAAAGTTATATGTGGGTTGCGTTAAGATACGGTAGGCTAATAATATCTACATACTACCCACATATTATTATTAAATTCACTTCATAGTTGATGAAAAGTACTATAGTGTGTATTATAGCTTAAAGTTCTTTCGAAACCAGATTTATATTTAAGACAAGGGCATACACACACCTCTGATGTGTAAAAATCTTTTATGAACTGCCACTTTCAACTAAAAAACTGGGTGATGTCATTGTCAAGTAGATGTCTAAATGTATTATGCCTATATAATAGGAAAAAAGGCACAGGCCTAATCAAACAAGTCTAATAGTTCTTTAATTAACTATAACTTTTGTTTTACTTTAATAGTAACACATAGGGCAGGTCTAATTAACTTATTTAACTATTTATAATATATGTTAAGCTTTAATTATGATTAGACAAAATAAAAATGTTAAACGTGTCGGAATGCTTTTATCTGTACAACAAAAAAAAGAAATATAATTATAAATTAAATTTACATTCATTATATATAATATTTGTAGGCCCTATATCCTACAATATCCTATATTATTTTTAAATAAATATAGGCATAGGATATACTAGAGGAGTATACTGAATTTTCAGAATAGTGTCCGCTAACAATTTACAATATCAATAACTAACATTTATTATTTAATAGGCACTTTTATGAAAATTTCAAATCATTTTTAAAAATATAAAAATACTCCAGCTGCATAGAGCCTAGAGAATAGATTACAAAAACCACCAAGATCAACTTTCTAGCTCAAGTGGTTCAAAAGTTATGAATTTTTTAGTAGGGACCTCAAAGGCACTTTTTTACCATGGGATTTTCCTCCACATTTCGTGACACTCAATTTGCTTTTTTTTTTTAATGCGTATAACTTTATGGTAAAATGAGACAAAAAAATAATATTTACAGGGAACATAGTAAAATAAGAGTACTTCTAAATAAAGCCACAAAATATAAGTTAGTTTTTGATAATATTCCGCAAAAATTAAAACAAAAACCTTATTTTTTTTCCTTTTAAAACATGTATAAATATGCTGACTTATTTGAAATTAATTCATTAATTTTGTTTCAATATATTTTTTTTAATTTCCCTAAAATCATAATAATAATAATATTCTTTAGATATAAATTTAAAATTTTCTGTGGAATAGATTAACATTTATAAGTATAAACTAATAATAAAGGGATTACTTCTTGTTTCATTTAGTTAAAATTTACGATTACACTTTTTATTTTACCATTTTCTATATATGTGTTTTAGTCCCATATCATATGAATGTCTGAATATGACCAAAAAATAGTATGTCATTTTTTACAAGTTAGTAATCTTGTTTCACAAATTAACATGCATTGATAGAATCAACTTTGGTGGTTTATACAAACTAAAATAAGTTCTAGTCATTTGCTTGTGGTAAGTATAAGTTTTTATGATTGTTCTTTATATTATTAATAATATCTTAAGTAATTCTTGGACTATTGTGGCAGAAAGTGTGCTTTTTCTTTGAGAATACCAAAGATTATGTAATAATTCTCTTGTGAAATATTGTGATTTCTGATTAAATATAGGATATTTCAATATGAAAGGCAAGTGATTATTTTTTTGTTTACATTTTTGCTGAATCTATGCATCATAATATTCATTAAAATATCATAACAAATAAAAAATAATGTGTCACAAAAATAATGAGTTGGGGTGGAGCTAGGCCTATACTTAAAATACTATACTTTTCTAGGCCTGTATATATATTAAACTGTTATATTTAATATATTAATTATAATAATAATAATGAGGCTAATAATAAATTCAGTTTAACCCACTACCCAAGTCAATACCCCTCAATAAAAGCATCAAATCAAGTCAAAAATATATATTTATGTTGTTAAAATAGGTATCTGTGTTATTAAATTATTTGTTTTGAATGAGTAATTTTGGAGTAATAAGCTGGATTTCCATCGTAAATCAAGTTATTTACTTTTTTTTTTCATTATTAAAAATCGTTATCGATAATAGGTCATTTTGGGACATATGTGACACAAATTTGGTAGGCATTTTTTGACCATTGAACTGGGTGCTAACCTCTTGAATTTTTTATATGTCGTAATTTATGCTATTATCTCCCGTCGTCTTTTTTTTTTAAGCAGACCTGTTTACTCTTACGATTTTGGCGTACAATGTACGATTTCGAGGCCTAAAATAAATATTATATATACTGTGTTTTTTTAATATTCAGATAAATGATAATGTATTGAACTGAACGATTTTGTGAGGATAGTGTACGATTTTAAGAGTTGGAAGGTAAACAGCTCTGTTTAAGAAAGACACCCTTTCCAAAAAAAAAAACCCATGAATGAGTAAAATAAGCATTATTTTACCTTCAATTTTCAAAGTTAAGACCTCAAATATTTTTTAGAACAAAAGTGTATAATCATAAAACAACTTGTCTACTCAAAGTTATGGGCGGAAATAGAATGTGCTTGCTGCTGCCCTATAATTAACAAAAAAATCGTAAACAACCAGGCTCTCGGTAAATTAAAAAGTGGAGGTCGCAATTTTGATAACGAAATCACGATACCCGGTTTTCGGCAATTCCCGGATCTCATCCAAGTGACTACTATTTAAAATTAGGCTTGAATTAATCACATTCTTTAATTTAAATGAGAATGAATGAATGGCAGATGAAAAATTGAAGACGGTGATCGGGTGATTGAAAAGTTATAATAAAAAATCATAAACAAATTATAATAGCTTAGACGTGTTTGGTGTGATACTTACGCCTGCGTAATAGAAAAATATTTCAACTTAATTTGTTGTTTTGTGTCAACGAGAGGACAAGCAGCGAAGAAAGGTATACAAAAATCAAAGAGTTACTGAACCTGACAGGAAGTGAAAGGCTGGTTCAAAGTTTTTATTTGGCTATGCCTCCATGGGCTTTCGGTATGTGTTACATTAAGAAATGGCGTCAGCGGGGCGAGTCTAGAATCTTATGCCCCCCCCCCCCAAATTACCCCTCCCCGGTCCGACGTATCGGGCCGCGGAGCGGCACGTTGGAGATGCCCACTCGTCAGGACGGCCCCCACACGGGCCCCTCACCCAAGTCCCTCACCTGGGCGTCTGGGCGCTCGACCAGGACCCCGCCTGGGGGCCGCCCCAACGAGGAGGCACCCGGTCGATCCGACACTATGCGTTTAAACAGTGCACTCGATCGACTTTCTCAGGAGTTGGGATGGAAAAATTTACGTCCTAATATCTTCCCCCACCCATCCCGGGAAAGCGTCGGACGCCCTATAAGAGGGATTCCACAGTGGGTTTCCACAACGCGACTAGTTCACGCTGTAGCTGGGACGAAACGGTTGCCTAGGGGCAGCGTTCTCACGGCTGCATTATTTGAATCCTCGGCCAGAGGTTACCACCCTCGCCTCTGGCCTCATACACGTCAACGGCAACTTGTAATCATGAGCTTTTGGTATACATTGGGCGATAGCTCTGTTTGCCTTAGGTTGCAGGACCGGATTAGGTAAGGTGGGATAATAGGGTCCCTGGACATAGCAAACAAAGGGCTATCAACTTGTGTGCCTTGTCCCTAGCTAGAAGTTTACCATTGCATACTTGCCACAACTTTAATTATTTCATTTCCTATTTAAAATTTAGCGTGCTTTAAAGGCCTACGTTTTATAGAAATTGAACAGTGCTATACTAAGGCTATAGGATAGAGCAGGCCTGCACAACATACGACCCGCGGGCCGCATGTGGCCCGCCAGCACCCACTTTGCGGCCCCCGAAGTAACGAAATATTCTTTATTTTTATTATTTTCTAAATAGCTTTCCCTTGTCTTATTTTCTTTTGGCCCGCGCAAGCCCTGACCTATATTCTTTTGGCCCGCACAAGTTTTTCATAAAGTAGTACGGCCCACCTTACATTTTGAGTTGTGCAGGCCTGGGCTATAGACATTGTAAAACATAAGTTAAAAAAAAATAAATTAGTTTCATGCATTTCGGTGCGGTGAACAGATTTTTCTGGGGGTAACTTGGGACACTGTTGTTTTGTTGGGAGTGTGGGGGTGTAAGTTTG